TCTTAATCTGTTCTTGTGACAGAAATTCCACATGAACCAAGTTTCTTCTGTGTGTTATTAAAGCTGGACAGTCACAAATAATATGAATAGTAGTTTTCTCATCTTCGAGGCATAATCTGCATTCTGAATCAGTAGATAATCGTAGTTTATGAAGGTGATATATCAGACCTGTAATGAAACCCATTAGCAACCTTAAATCACATTTTGAAAATTTAAGAATGTTTTTGTAGATGTACGGTTTGATCAGTGCTTTGCTTTATCTAAGTCCTAGGAAATCTTCCCAGTACACCAGCCACAAACGATTCTTATTTGTTTATTTAGACAATATAATTATTAGATAAATTTATAACATTTTAGATATTTCATTAAAAATTATATTATCAAATTTATTTATAACAACTGTTATGTAGGTTAATTTTCAAAATAATCACAATGAAATTGCTCTGTCTATTAAGAAAAAATTGTTAGCTATTTCTAGCAGACGAAAAACATCGATGTTTTTTTTCGTGGTCTTGAGAGCAAGGGTTTCTATTAAAAATATTTATTAACACCTAAGAACTGTAACAACTTATCCAAAGATTTTTTTTCTGATGAAAATGGCTTATGAAATTATTTTATTTAGTTTTTAAAGAGGTTTTTCGAACAGTAATGAACTACAAAAACAAAAATTTATTTTTTATATTATTTTAATTAATTGAATTTTTGGCTGACCATACAGCTGTTTCTAGTATTGCCAAATACCCATCATCAGTAGTCTTGGAAATAATTCTTGTATTTAATTATTCGTAAATAATTATTTTTGAGACTGCAAGTACCAGAAATCGAACTCGTGCTCTGCCAAATTTGAATCTCAGAGTCAGCGTTCATTAACCAAGTGATCTAAAGCTGTACTTGACCTCTTTGTTCGCATATTTTTCTGGAGTTTTGTTACTTATTTATTTGTTATTTAGTTTTTAATTAATTTCTTTATTGTTTAAAAATATATTCAATTTTAATTTTTATATAAATTTTTTTTATAACTAATTCTTTATTAAATATTAATAAAGAATTCAATAAAATTTTAAAAATTTTCTGAGAGATAATCAAATAAACAGTAATTAAGTGACTCACTAAAAGCCATTCGTAGTTTTTTAATGAGGTTTACGTGAACAGATTAGACACACTTCGAATTGCGTGCAATTTATCTTTAATTTGAAACACGGTTTTCTAACAAACTCAAAACATATTAAACTTAATAATTCTATATAATTGACTTTAAGAGTTAAAGTTTGCGCAAATATGTACTGACCATTACAGTTTTGTTTGAAGATAATCTACAATTGAATAATAATTTCATTTAGATGATTATATCAGTTCAATTTGATGACTAAATTATTTGATTATGAAAGTATATATAAGCAGTTTAATAAGCAAGAATAATAGAATTTGAAAGACTTTCATAAAAAGTTTTAAAATCAATTTATACTTTTTTTCTACACCAATTTAATTATAGTAATTATTTATTTATAATAATTGCTGTCTCAAGAAAAGAAGTATCTACTACTAAAGAATCATAATTAAGCGGAAAAATATATAAAAAAAAAAATAAAATAAAAATAATAAACCTTACTCGACGTTAATGATTTCGAGCAGCCTCTTATACAGCCTATGCCCAGGCTGTCTATAAGTCGCTCCCACCTTTCGCGTCGGAACGCTACGTCCTTTATATCAGTAATGTTACTTATTCTTCTTTCTAGGGGCTGCAAAACGCTATTTATATCATTTAACGTTGATCGACTTTCTCAATATTGTTTTTATGGCGACCTCTGCATCTGCTACCTTGAGGGTTGTATACCAACACCTGTTGTCAAATTTTGGTATGAGCCTTTCGAAGTGTATGCCCGATCCATACAAATTTTATTTTGCGAATTCCAAGGTTGTCATCCCTTACATTTGTTCTGGTCTAAAAGTGTTGATTTGATACTCTGTTTGGCCAGAAAATACGCAAAATTCTGCGGAGACAGCGGTTGACAAATCAAGTTTCGCAATCATACAGAAGAACTGAAAGAACGCATGCTTTAAAAGGTTTTATCTTTGTGCGTAAACTATATGTATTGGAGCTCTAAACTTTACGAAGCCTTGTAAAAGCGTCCATGGCTTTTTTTATTCTACATATCACGGAGAAATATATTTTAGATGAAGTTATTTCATTGAATACTCGTAATATTTTTTGGTTGAACAAATTGCTGTTTCAGTTATTTTCCAAATATCTGTCAACAGCAATCTTTTAAACTATTTTTTGTTTATATAGTTTTGATATGGGTGCTAGTGGTATGATCTTGAACTTTTATAAATCTTAAGTTTTATTAATTATTCCATACTTATTTTCATCGCATAAATCCCCGGATCATATTTTAGCAGATGTCAAAGGCTTAACCTTAGAAATTATTTTTCGAATTGAATGTCTAATCCATTAATGTACCAGATCTGGACTTTAGTGATTGACAATGGGTTTTGTTCACAAAGCTGAAAGTGTGATTTAGACATAACCAAATTTTTATTAAATAAAGCAGTGGAAGATTTCAAGAAGTTGAAAGACTGTTTCAAGAGTGTAATTAGAGATTATGTCGAAAAAAAAAAATTAAGTGAAATATATTTCTCAATATTGGGTGTAAAACTTTTTGAACATATATTTATATTTATGCACATATGTATGTATTTTATTATTTATATATATGGATGGATATATATGAACGCTACTTTTACTTTCTATGTGACCGGAAAGCATCAATAAGACAAACTGAAATGGAATGAAACTAAATGAATAAGAAAAAACTTTAATAATTATTGTGAAATCAATGCAAATGTAATTGCTATAGAAAAGCAACACCTTACAATTACTCAGAATAATGACTAAGTCTTATCTCAATTACTTGAAGTGACTAAGTTACTGTACTGTGTAATGAAAAAAAATACTGAAAACTGAGATTCGGTTCAGGTGCAAAATTTATTGATATTCTGATTGAATAGACTTTTCTTATAATGTTATGCATTTCCATCACAATATTTTATTTCAAATGTATTAATTAATATAGTTTATAATTACGTTTTAATATGATGAGTTATAATGGAAAATAATTGTGGGAAAATTTATATATTGTAAGCAGGCACGAGAAACGTCAATTGTACCCATAGTCTTAATTTTTTTTTAATTTTAATTGGCCACCAAATGATTAAGTAGCTTTGATAAATGAGTGAGAATTTTTTCTAGGAATCTCAAAGGTTGAATAAAATTATAGTAAATTTTATTCATATAACATTTTAAAATATATAAATTTTAATTTATAGTTTAGTAAATCTTATATTAAATAACAAACAACGATTATATATGGTAATATATAAAAAAAATAAGTTTAATTATAACATTTTCTGAAAAAAAAAACTTAATTTTTTGTTTATAATTAGTTTGCGAAACGCTATCTATTTGTCAATAAATAAACCAAAATATCGAAAAGGTTTTTATACATCATCCTTCATCATGTTTTATATAATCTATAAAAAACAATAAGTTAAATTTAATCGTTTTCTGTAAAAATATTCATTTTTTGTTTACACTTAGTTTGCAACACGCCATCTATTTGTCAATAAATGAACCTTTAAATGATTTATTAATTTATTATATCTGTAGGAACCATTTGATGTTAAGTTTGAAAGGATAAAAATCAGTTCACAAAGAGATTTAATAGCAAATAAATACTTTAATTATAATCATATTAATTAAATAACTCAAAAACAACAATAATGATTACGCAAACGATGACATGCCCCTCACACGCATGAAGCGCTCCAACTTTAATCACCTATTTCTTGAGCATAGTCACCTTACACACAAATATCTTTTTGACGAGTCCCTTTTATTCAGATGTCGGTTTTGTAACATAGAACCTTCTACGTCAATTATTTATATCCTTTTCACTTGTCCTCATTTCTCCCGTCATAAACACAATAATTTCTGTTATATCTCAATATCGAAACCCACAGGGAAAACATTAAAAACGCAATTAACTTTCTCATAATAGTTAGCGTATACTATCAAATATAACAATTCTGTATCATATTTATAATGTTATTATTATAGCTAAAAATTAATGTACAAAGTAAATTTAGTAGCAATGAGGTCTTATGCTATTGCTCCTATAAGGCCTTATATGTAAATAAATAACTCTGTTTCCTTGAAAATAATGGTTTGCAATGGTTAGTGGGCTAGTGTAAAAGTGATCGTATAAGTCTTTAATAGCATCAAATTGAAGGACGTACAAAACTATATTAATACCAAAAATTATCACATATAGTTTTGGAAGCTAGTTGATTTACCAAAAGAGATACAATAAAAGCTTTAGGCATTTTTCTAGAAACATAGGTATAGTCAACAAAAACGATTTTTCAAAACGACAATTTTTTTCAGTTTTACTCAACTTCAGTTTCTATTTATACTTTTCGTCAAGAGAAAAAATTGAATTGTGACATGGAAAGTAATTATCTATGTTATGGTATATATATGGCTATATATGAGCCATATCGCGATGCTCCTTCCAATTAAAAATAAAACTAGTGAAACTATACTTATTGCTACAACAAAGTAATGGTGGCGCTACCTATATGGTACGCCACTTGCAATAACATATATAACGACCGATTCACCAACTTTAGTTCCCTCTAATTTTTGGATAATCTCATACCTCCAAATATTCTTCAGTGGAAAACGATTTGCATTTAACAAATATGTATTAATTGCAGTTGAACTACAGATATGTAATTTATGAATTGGATGATTGTCGATATAAGTGCATTGAGGAAAATTATACAATCCTAGAAATAAAGTCAATTCAATTATAATTAATTCATTTCTGTTTCAAGAACTAGTATCTTGATAGTTTATGAAACCACATTTAAGATATGTTTTATTTTTTGTAAAACTTAAAAAAATGTCTTCTAAAATTGTATGCATACTTTCTTTCCAGCGGTTTAGACAGCTCATCATGTAGTCAATGTGTTTCACTGTTAAAAAAATTGGCATCTCAAGGTCATACGATTGTTTGCACCATACATCAACCTAGTGCATTGTTATTTGAAATGTTCGATAAGCTATATACAGTTGTGGAAGGAAATTGTATCTACCAAGGCAAGGTACGCGAGCTGATCCCATTCTTAAGTGATCAGGGTTTAATATGTCCAAGTTATCACAACCCAGCAGATTTCTGTAAGTATAAATATTCGATCTTTTCTACATATGTAAATACCTTTATCTAATGTATAAATGTCTATTGTTTATAATTTAATTAAGTACTTACTTAAGCCTTCATGTCACATATATAAAAACACATTTTTATCATTTTTTTTTATTTATTCCATATACAGTATTGGAAGTTGCTGTTGGTGAACATGAACGTGATTTGAATAAACTAATTAATGCGGCGAATAAAAAGTATTACGAAGACGTCGATTTGAATCAATTAAATAGACGCGTAACGCAACTTATAACCAAAATACAGGGTATGTATATTTAAGTTAAGTCTCTTTAATAATGCAAAATAATATTCAGAACTGCAATATATATTATAGATATATAATTGAACTTGCATTCGGCAATAAGCGCAAGATAGATTTATGTCTTAGATAGATTTATGACATTTCTAGCTCCTGTAAAGAGCATATACAATATGTACAGCAGAAATTTGGTTTTTTTTATATGTATCACTTGCCGACAAGTGTTTTGAGTTACTTAAATGGCCTTTGGGACCATTCAGCACTCTACGTTATTTTGGGTCTTTGGATCTCTTTTAAAGTCTTGCGAATTCCAGTGTAGTATAATTTTAATTATTATTATTTTTTTGGTTGCATATATCTAATCCATTGCAATTATGATTTTTTGTTTTCATTTCTACGATAATTGAAATGTGCTTACTGGCTGTTGTTATTGTATAGAAGAGATATTGTATTTTAGAATTACAGTGACTACTTAAGTCGTATATAGTAGTATTAATACGATTTTTGTAAGTTTCAGTTCATCATCAGATGTGTAACTATTTTAAACTTTTTTACATTTATGCATTAGTATATTGTAGCTCCCCCACAAGTTCTTGACAGAACTTGCAAATTACATCAAAGACGATATCCAGTATTTTTAATAAATATTCTTCGTTTTCGATTTTGTCGATAGCTTGAATATGGTCTTGAAATAATTTTGAGTATCAAAAAATGTCAAGTAGATAATTTAACACGATTTCATTTAGAAATTCTGTACAGATTAAGGTTTCCATCTCTGGAGATTTGTCTGATGATAAGTAGACGTCTAATAAAAGGATGGAAAAAAAATAAAAGTTCAGAAACATTGTAGGGAGACTGTATTTTTTAATTGGTGTGTCTATGCCTTTTTGCAGACCTTTCAATATTTAATGCACTGAAATGAAATATTTGTTCACAAATCTCAAGGTTTATTGTTCCAGAGTTTACGTGGAGATATGTCTGATGATAAGTAGACGTCTAATAAAAGGATGGAAAAAAAATAAAAGTTCAGAAACATTATAGGGAGACTGTATTTTTTAATTGGTGTGTCTATGCTTTTTTGCAGACCTTTCAATTTTTGATGCACTGAAATGAAATATTTGTTCATAAATCTCAAGGTTTATTGTTCCAGAGTTTACGTGGAGATATGTCTGATGATAAGTAGACGTCTAATAAAAGGATGGAAAAAAAATAAAAGTTCAGAAACATTATAGGGAGACTGTATTTTTTAATTGGTGTGTCTATGCTTTTTTGCAGACCTTTCTATTTTTGATGCACTGAAATGAAATATTTGTTCACAAATCTCAAGGTTTATTGTCCTAGAGTTCACGTGGAGATATGTCTGATGATAAGTAGACGTCTATTAAGTACAAAAACATTTGTAAGAGCATGAGAGCATGATTTTCACAAAAACAAAAAAAAAATATGAATAAACTTTGAAAAACTTTTATTAACAATTTCAAGATAAAGAATTATTTTAGTAAGTTTGTATTTAAAGTTACAATTTTTTATAAATTTATTATAAATATTTTTAAACTACTCAAATTCAAAAAATCTTGTTATCAAAGCAACAAGTTTTTGAAATATTATTCCACTGTGATCATGACTACGTATTAACAGAGCTATGAAGCGATGCTCAGCAATTTCAGTAATTGCTGGGAAGACTTATATAAAGTAAATTAGTACATCAAAAATATAATCTTAGGGTTTTTTTTATTTACTTTTTAACTTCAAATTACAAATTATAAGATATTAAACCATTGAGACTGTAGTTGTCGATGGCTTGTCTTGTGCAGATTGTATTTTCATCATTAAATCAAACTGGTTCACAGTTTTGTTTATTAATACTTTACCCAATCTGATTTTCAATAAAGACAATAATCAATTTCAAGACAATAAGTGTAGTTAAGGAAGTAAAATGAGATAATATTGAATTTGCTCTACGAATTTTACAGAATAAGATGCTATTTTAAATTTTAGAATCAATCAAATTCATCGATAATGTAATAACGTAGAAAAAGGTTAAAAAATTAAATAAAATGATATGTCTAAAAAGATATTATTAGATAAAAGATATTAACATATATTATTTAAACAACACTTCAATTCAATGTGATATATAATATGTACTCTTATTTTCTTGTTATGTGATTTAGATAGCCTAAATACCATCTTTATATCATCTTAATAATATTATTGCAATACTTTTCGATAAACAATATTTTTGGTTGTTTTATTTTTAGAATAAATAAATACATTTTTTAGGGCCTCCATTCTTCAGTAAATGATTTGAAGAATATAGATTTTTCATATTTGCTCTAACACTTATTCCTTAAGCCAGTCAATAGCATTATCAATATTTTTAAATTGTTCTTGGATAATAAAATGCGTAATTAATTTTTTTTGCTATTATTGTAGTCTCATAACAATTAAGTCTATACGACTTTCATAAAGTTCATTCCTCTTAAGTATTTCCTGATTTCTTAGCAAAGCCAATTACACTGTTCTGAATTTGCTGTAATAAGATCTGTACCCTGTCTTACTATGAAAACTCGTTTTTTTGTGGAATGCATTGGCTTGCTCTTTTTTCTGGATCTGTATAGACGCTGACTTTGGCGCCCCTGATTTAATAATTATAAACATTATATAAACATTATAGTTAAAAAATTATAACTATAAACAGTTTGATACTAACTGTTTATAGGTTTGATTATTTCAATAGCGTGAACATGTCTTGTATATATAGCTAACCTTTCTATTTGGAAAATGTTTTGATATTTTTTTTACTGGTGCTGTATATTTAATTCTTTGCACAGTATAGAACTAACACAGTGCAATATGATATGAGGATTATTATTATTAAAAATAATGTCATGAAATCCCCCAACATCTGGTACTGCAGTCAAAAGAGTCCTATTGTACCAATGTAATATGAGGATACTATATATAATACAACCGATTTTAATAGTAGATTCATGCAGCGAAGAAAATAATATAGAGTTGTTATTTACATAGTTACATAGTTAGTATCATTTAAATAATTCACTTTTAAGGGCAATTTCTTGGGCCATTTTTTGAGAGTTACCGGTTATTTTATCAGCAGAACAAAATAATTGGTTAACAAAGTTTCGCTATACTTTACAATTTCTAAAGAAAACCATTGTAAAAACAATTTCAATGTTGAAATATAGATCTATTTTATTTTATTTTTATTTAACATTTTGCTTCTAATTTGAAATTTATTCTAATTAGCCTTCTTATTATACATTCAGTAATAGAAATAATTAATTTTTATAGCTTAACCAATGCTGTATTGATATAGTGTAATAGAAAAAAAACTTTTTCCAAGTTTTATATTGTTTAAAATTTTTTGAATATTATAAAGCTAATTTATTATTCTTTATTAATTTTAAGTGTAATATTATAAAGCATGTTAGTTAAAATAATAAATTTAATGATTAATTTTAATTATATCAAAATAATTAAAAATAAATATAAATAAATATATGTGTATAAATAAATACAAATAAATTAAATATATGTACATAAATAAATACAAATAAATAAATAAATTAAAATAAATACTTAAAGTAATAATTTAAATGATTAATTATAATAAATTTAATTTTGATTTTAATATTTTTATTAATGTATTTTAATATTTTTTTTAGATAATAATTTTAATGATTAATTTTAATTAATTCATAATAATTAAAAATAAATATAAATAAATATTTGTACATAAATAAATACAAATAAATAAATAAATTAAAATAAATACTTAAAATAATAATTTAAATGATTAATTATAATAAATTTAATTTTGATTTTAATATTTTTATTAATGTATTTTAATATTTTTTTTAGATAATAATTTTAATGATTAATTTTAATTAATTCATAATAATTAAAAATAAATATAAATAAATATTTGTACATAAATAAATACAAATAAATAAATAAATTAAAATAAATACTTAAAATAATAATTTAAATGATTAATTATAATAAATTTAATTTTGATTTTAATATTTTTATTAATGTATTTTAATATTTTTTTTAGATAATAATTTTAATGATTAATTTTAATTAATTCAAAATAATTATAAATAAATATATGTACATAAATAAATACAAATAAATAAATACATTAAAACAAATAAGTAAATTAATAATTAAATAATAATTATAATAATAATTAATAATTAAATAATAAGTAATAATTAAAATAATATAATAATAATTAAATTAAAATAAATTAAATTAAAAATAAATACAAATAAATATATGTACATAAATAAATACAAATAAATAAATAAATAAATTAAAACAAATAATTAAATTAATAATTTTATTGATTAATTATAATTAATTTTATTTTGATTTTAATATTTTTATTAATGTATTTTAATATTTTTTTTAGAGAATATTGAACACAAAAATTGTAGCAAAAGCAGCGGAACTAGCAAAAGTTTAAAACCCTTCTCATCCGGTCGTTTAGCACAATTTGCAGCCTTCGACTATGTAAAACCTAATGTGGATGAAATGGCTTTAGAGGAAATCAAAGCACTAAATGGAACGGGAACAGGTGGTAAACAGATAAATAATATCGAAAACATTCATCGGACTAATATGCAGCAGGCTTCGTTTCTAATGCAATATTTGCTTTTATTAAAGCGTATTTTCGTGTGTTCGCAGCGCAATTGTGTAAGTAAATTTTTAAAAGTTAAATTAAAACTAAAACAATTATTAAATTAAAATTAATGTCGAAACTAATAACAAAACTAAGTAATTAAATATAGCAAAAAATTAACTGCATTCAAACGAAACTATCAAGGTTTTTGATTGCAAAAACTAAAAAACTGAAAAATATAAATGCGAAAAAACATCAAAACTTTTTTTAGCAAATATAATACTGACGTGCCTGAAATGCCGGTCGAACGGTCGAACGGTCAACGATCAAGTTACAAACACACAACTGGTTACCGAGCTACCAAGCTACCAAGTTACCAAGTCGTTGGCCAAGATCAGCGACAACTCCACCATCAAATTCAATAATTCGTATTAACCAACTAACTAACGAGTACGAGCATTTCATGTATATCCAAAATTGGATTTATGGGATTTTAAATGCGTTCACATGACGAGTGGCTTGAACATTTCTCAATGGTCTTATTTTCAAACCGGCGTTTTAGCAGCGGCGTTATGGTGCTAAAACGCTGTCACGGTAATACGTTACGCTATTAACCAAGAAGTGTGTACACAATACAATTTACTATTATTGCCAGCATAATATCTGCAATTGTTTTCATTTGTTTACCTCTACCTCTGCATATATATTTGTCTACAATCGTGTTTGCGCGAATTTTTAATTCAATACGAACCATTTTGGAGTTTCTTCATTCAATTATTTTATTTTGTATCTTTTTTATTGTTTGTATCTTACCATTAAACTTTGAAGTTTAGTCATAGAAAAATTGCCTTAAAATTGTCCTCTTTTACATTGCCACAAACTCTAATGGTAATAATATCAACGCAGCTTAAGTAAACGTAATTGCGGTCTTTAGATTTTATAACCATGTTTCATCTTTTTTATTACCTTCATAATTATTGCGTACTATACTAACTAAATATGGACATATTTAAACCTTGTATTTAGGCAATAATTAGCACATTAACTTCTATCAATTCGCAACTGTCATTGCATGAGTAATGAATATTCACAACTACTCTGAGTACATACTCGTACCAATAATATTAATATAGTAAGTAGTAAATAAGTTTTGAAGATGTAAGATAATTACTATGTAAACGGCTTTCAGTGAAGTAAAACACTACAAAAATAGTAGATTTTTTTTATGCTACAATTGACCCCAACGAAAGTCTATTCACAGTGTAGGATTTCAACTGGTCTAAAAACTTCTTGTGTCCGGATGGAGAGCTCCTTTAGTAACAACCATTAGATAATGCGACTGAAGTGACCCCAACTATTGAGCAGATTAGAATATCTTGTGAAAAACCCTGCTTTATTAAAGCTATAGAATTTTATGTTAAAAGACAACAAATACAACAAATATAACTTAAGAAATTGATACAAATAGGTACTTTTTAATTCAGTTAGTAATTTTACGTTATTAAGGATCAAAAATAGTTTCGATTAATTGATTTTCATGGTAACAAGTTCGAAACTACATCTTAAAACTAAAATTTAAAAAAAATATATCGAATAACATATATAAGACGATAACTCGCAGAGGCTGCACTCAATGGTTGGTTTTAAGACTGGTTTCTTTTTTGACTTGACTGTAACATACCATATATACTAATCACTTAAAACGCATTTCACACCACAGCACCATTTCTGGAGGTAATATAAACATCGAGTACTGGTCTTAACTAACACAGCACCATTTCTGGAGGTAATTTAGACATCGAGTACTTGACTTCACAAACCATTAATATTTCTTGCAATAATATGCTATATGCTTAATAAAAAAGACATACAAAGCATATTTACCCACACATTAGAAAATAAATTGTTATCAAGGCTCTAAACAGGGCGCCATTGACGGTGACGATGAGTACTCAATTTTCTTCATTTAAAAAAAAAAAAAGTGAAACTATGTTGTCAGCCTGTTTTCTTCTTCTTTGCTTCATCAAACGCGAGTCAAACGCGAGAAGTTTTTCTCAGTAGTGGCTGTTTACTCCACTGTAATAAGAGCTTCGTTAAATTCTGATAATAAATTATTCAAATGATTTTATATAATGTATATAAATATACTTTGAAGACTAGCATACTTTCCTGACGAAATACGAATATATATTGCATTAGATTTAAGATGATACATTTCCGAATTAGTGTGCGCTTCCACAGAATCGAACAATTTCAGTGCTTGGTCTTTGATATATTTTTGCACACTCTCGACTTTCAGATCTTTGTATATGCCTTTATTTCTGATGTACCGTGGAGCTTTTAGTAAACATCTCAGTACAAGATTCTGATAAGTTTGAAGTTTTCTAAGGCGCGATGGAGCAGCATTGCCATAAGTAATACAACAATAAAGTAGTTTGGGTCCAAGTATTTTTTTATAAAGAATTTTATTAAGTTTTCTTTTGTTAATGGTTTAAGAGCATTCAGACTTATATTACAAGCCGGTCTGTAAACAGTACTTAACAGTGTATTTTTTAGAGTGTATCGAAGCGCCTTATGTCTTTTTTTAATCAAATTTATGACTATTTTTTAATTAATGGAATTATGACACTTATAGGCTTTGAGTTTTTTTCGTTAGCATAATGGATCAATAGATCTGTGCATATCTACTAAGATAAGTAGAGTTTTTACTAAGATAAAAGTTAACTTTGTAACTATTATGGAGCTTTTGTAAATTAATTATTTCTGAAAAATATAATATAGGGCAAATATAATTATTATTTTTTGACTTTTATTTTAAAACGCTCATATGACTTATAAGGATGTAACTTTCATCGATGAAAACGATGGCAAAATTGAACAAATTGAGCTACGAATTGCTGCCGCACCCACCTTATTCTCCAGATCTGGCCCCCAGCGACTACTGGCTCTTCGCAGACCACAAAAAGATGCTCCGTGGTAAAAGATTTGGCTCAAATGATGAAGTAATCGCCGAAACTAACGCCTATTTTGAAGGCAAAGAAAAATCGTTTTACAAAGGCGGTATCGAAAGATTGCAAAAGCGTTGGAATAATTGTATCTCTCTAAAAGGGGACTATGTTGATGAATAAAAACGAATTTTGGCAAAAAATGTGTTTTAATTAGTTAGTCACACACATTATTGAACGAAGTGTTAATACCAAAATTTTAGTAATTTTTCTTGATTAATACTTCGGTAAAATGAAATTTTTCGAATTAAAACTACATCTGCCTTCTGGCTTGAATTGTCAATATCATGTGATGATCGATTAGTTCTTTCTCTTCGTTTTTAATCCAATGAAAATTGCATAAAACCTGTATGAAGTATTTTTTTTCCCATCAGTATTTTGAGCTAAGCGTAGAACCATATTGCAGAAAAATCTGCAATCAATGAAATTTAACTATGATAAAATTTTTTCATAAATTATGTTTTAATTTATTTAAAATGTTGACAGTTCATTAAATCAATATCGACACAGTTTGGCTAACCTTCACACAAATTTCACTTGTGTCAATTTTGGATTTTAAGAAAAAAACTGGTAATTGGACTTGCATGTATCGCCAATAAAGTGGCATTGCGTATTTTTGTCTGCATCAGATCAAATGCACCAAGCACTTGCAGTAAGCAGGCCGTCAAGCGTGCATAGTTTTTATCTTTAAGATACTTTAAATTTTTTTTGCTTTTTCACTTAGCTTTGATTACATATAAGTTCTTAACTGATAATTCACGATATTCTATTTGGTAATTTTTTATCTTTTTTTTTATCTTTTATTTTCAGTTTTTGCTTTTGGCCCGACTTCTGTCGCACATTGCTATTGGCGTCGTCTTTGGTTATTTGTATCTGCAAGTGGGTGACAAAGCTTCCACCGTTTTGGGTAATTATGTTTATCTCTATGGTACGATGTTATTGCTGGTTTATACAGGCAAAATGGCTGTGGTTCTTACATGTAAGTATCGAAACTAATTATTAACTACATATTTTTCAAATATTTATGGATCGTAAACTTAAAATATTGGTCAAGAAACCAGTTGTTATAGGAATTAGGTAACATACTAACTACTAGTCACACTAATTTTTGTGTTTAACTTATATGTTATAGATGCCGAATATGTAGGAGTGCACTAAATACTTAATACTTCAAGTTAAAAATATTGACGAAATTTTTTTAATTAGTTATTGCATAAATGAATTTTATGTTTTTTAAATTTTTCTTATCTTTAAAATCTTAGTATAAAAATTTGACTTAGAAATTGAGTATTGTTTACTCGTATTATTTTTATTTTAAATGACAAGCATTCTATAAGATCTATTGTGCTCTCCCCTTCAATTTCAAACATTTCAATATCCTCTGATTCATTCAACTTTTCATAACTTTTTGGATTGAATGAAAGCCAAATTAGTGTTTCAATTTTAAAAGATCGTTTTAGTTGTTGTGTTCACAATATTTTATCCATTCCTGAGGAAGTTCACTTCCTTATCTTCCTTTCGTATGGAACTTGTCACATGTGGGTAGGTAGTTCTGTAACACGTGAAGGTAGTTAATAAAACTATATTTCTTTTAAGATTTAGTTATTAATTTAAGTGTGTCGCGTATAGCAAAGCTGCCGACTCTACTATTCAGAAGCTGTAAGTTGCTCAAAGTCAGGTTCTCCGAAGACTCTTCAAAGTGTCATGGTACATCCGCACGAATGGCATGCTAAGAGACCTTAGAATAGATCCGGTCAACAAATACATAAGGGACAGAGTCCTGAAGCTATATGCGTAAACCAACAGGCTGCCCTGAAGCACTAGCTAATCTCAGAGTAATCACTAACCGAACGGGGCGGTACGCAGATCTTAGATCAGTCATTGAATAATGACGAAGCTTATGAGGAATACACATATAAGTCAGTACGATGGGTGGGACTCTGCAGAAACCCCCAAGCCATCAAAGAGTAAAAGTGCCCAGATGCACTAACTCAGAAGAGGCTCAACATTAGACATTAATCTGAATGAGTGATCTCAGTCTGTAGTATTGGCTGATGTTATGTAGACGTCATATCAGTATAGCCAATTTCACATTTTTACTACTTTTCGGTAGACATACTCACTTTCAATTTGGTATCAAAAATAATCAGCAAGAAACTTCAGAGAGCCTTTAAAAATGTTTATTTTGTATTATATTTTCTTATAATAATTGTTAATACTACTTACAAAATTACAGACCTTTCCTTAAAATCGGAAAGTGTAATAACAAACTAGGTTTATTGGCTATTGTTTGCGTTGCTTTCTGATATTGTTTCTTCCAAACGTATTAAAATTGTAGTAATTTGCTTGTAAAAGGCACAAATTCTGACATTTATTACTGAACTACATTGGTTTGCCTAAGTGACGAGGTACAGATATATCCTTGACTTTCATGACGGAATCTGAATCGACATTTTGTTTTTTCTCTCACTCTCAATTTTATAATTTGCATTGACAACAACAACAATTTTGTTCATGCCGTACCAGTGACACTCTATATAACATGGCCCTAACAGGTTACGTTAAGACTTACTCTCCTGGTATTATTATAAAGATATTCATAATCCATTACACATTAGGTCTGTTACATGAGCTTCTCGTAGTAAAACTTAAGTAAAACACAAGTAAAGTGCAAACTGAGAGCGTAACACAAATAAAGGTCCAAATAACGCTCTTTTCATAGATTTTGATGGAACAGATTTGTGTGAATTATGAATGCCGCATAAATAAACTATACAAAAATTTAAATTCAAACCAAACAGCTGATTCACACATCAACACAAATTTTACTTGAAATAAAATGTACGAGAAAAGTCTGTGTAGCATTTTCAAATTTCGACAGGGATGTTACGCTCTTTCTCTCAGATGCTCTCATTCTCTCGAAAATTTGCTGGTGGAACGCATTTGTGTATACATAGTGTTACTCAAAGTTACTACGAGTAGCACGTGGAACAGGCCTATTTTGTTGTCTAATTGATCACCATTTTAACGACACCTTAATTTCATCTTAATCAATAAAAGATACATAACAATATAAATTAAGATTATCTTATGTCATTTTAGGAAAATCACAAAAAAAAAGTAGATAATACTTACAAAGCCTGCTATCAGGTTTATGAGCAATGTTAATTTTAACCGTTATTGGTTTTTAAAAGGCAATTGTTTTCTACACCTCAAGAAAATGATCGTCCGGTCACAGTTAATTTATTCTGAACAATTGCTTGTTGGACAAGATTTCTTAACAAATGCATTTGTATTTTGTATTTTGTAAATAAAAAATATTAGTTTTTCTGAAAAAAATTCGGTTGCAAGTCTCTTAATTAGCTGGTCTCCGAAACTGGTCGTGTTTACATTTACTAATTCTGAATTTTCGGCTAGTCAATTAACTACGCTCTAAGCTCTTGTGATCTTGCTACCTTGATCGATTTCGTGAGTTCAACAAACTTAACAGATGTGATAGAACATAGGTTGACTGTGCTTTTGTGTGGTGTGCATCGTTAGTGGGGCTTCTAGTTTCTTAACTTTTGTAAATATTTTCTACCAACAATCCGTAGTTCGCATACACTTATCAAACGCATGGAACCGCAGCGAAAGTATGTCAAATCGCAGCTGTTTTCTGTTTTTGAGTTGTTTTTCTCAGCTACTTTACAGTATTTTGTTTAGTTGTTTATCACTTGGCATTTGGCTTTCTTTTGTATGGTAGCAACTATGTTGTAATAGATATTTTTGTTGAATCATGCAAAAAAAAAGAGAATGTCAGCTCAAGGGAATATATGGACGCGGAGTCTATAATAGGAAAATTGATCATAAGAGATTACAATTACTCCTACAGATTATGAAAAAAGATTCAGAAGATTCAGCCTTTGTATCTATATAAAATAAACCGCATTAAATCAAATATATACAGGCACGTAGATAGGGCAGGGATTTGAGGAGCGGAAGTTCTTTCCGTATTGATTAGTAAATCTGGATTCCATCAATATTTACTCTGAATTTGTCAAATTTTGTTGCACAATCGAACGCTTTCAGAGTATTCTAACATCGAGATTTATTAATCGAAAATAAAAATTGCACTAAAAGTGCAATCTGATTTACCAAATACAATGGCATTTAAATATTGTCTACAGTGAAAATCGAATATAGATTTCGATGCAAAAAAATCACAAATATATCGATATATGTAGACATACATTGATAACTAATTCTCAAAGATTGGTATACCATATATACCAAGGTTTTGAGATTAATGGAACTAATATTTTAGTAATATAATATATCCTGACAACTTGGGCTACTCTATTAATCATAATATTAATAATAAAAATTATATTAAGAAATATATTGGCTCTAAGGGACTTAGTTCCTTTGTTTCAAAAAAGCCTTTTTCGTAACAAAATGCAGTGATGGAAATCAATATATCTCAAAAATAGTTCGTCTTAAGCACATATCTTATATCAACTTTTTGTCTATCAAACATCCTTTTATTTGATGTCAAGTGTACTTCAAAGTTGTTTTTTGTTTTGGAAAGGATTAAATATTTTTTGCGGAATACCTTAGTTTTCTCAAAACTCTAATGATCCTATTATCTGATATCTTATTAACATATCTTACTCGTATTTTTGGTAAGGTATTCTTTATTTATTACTTATCGTTTACTTACAATCGGACTCTGATACAAGATACTCTAATGTCTTAATCTTTTATACTGATATATACTGGTATAAGTATATATTTGTGCAGGTTGTAGTAAAATAGTTGGATAATATTATTCGACAAGAACATTCAAAAGTACATGACGGATAGAGATCTTAAGTTTTTAGAAATTATAAATATCAGAATTCAGAGCGAAACTCATTGAAGACTACTAACTCTTTTGTCAGCAGTGGCACCTGATATTCCAAAAAGAAAAACAATTTACTTTACTTAATATAATCCAAATTACATCTATATTTACCAGTTAATTACACAAATGATCACCTCCACAAGAGACGTAAATTCGATCGATTTAGACCTAACTCTACGATGTCTTTGTCGGAAGTTTGAAATACTTTACATATTCTACATGTGATATATACTTTGTAAACTAATTTTTTTACTTTTTACTTATTAAATTGTTTAATTATATTTATAATTTATATTTAAACATAAAAATTTTGAAATATAAGCTTATTTTCAGCAATTATGGTATATGGTATGTGCATAACATGATAGAATCAGAGTGAATCAGTTTCCACTAATAATCAATTTGATTTGTTTTAAAAATTAAGAGATTAGTTTCTATACTGAACGGACACACATTCGTACAAATAGATGGACATCTATCTCTTAACTGATGGATTATGAAAAATTACAGTCTCAGACATCTGTTTGATTCATTAACAATATAATTACCAACATATTAGAATACATATAGACTAAAAGACTATTTTGTACATTAATTGACGAACAAATAGATATTCACAAAAATAGATTAATTAATAGCTAAATTTAACGATTTCATCAGGAGTAAAAATATTTTGATAAATATAATCACAATAGAGATGCATTCACAATAGCATGAAGAGTATAAAATCAATATTTATTTATTAATATATTTACAAACTAAGAGACTGGACAGATTTTCACACAAATAGATTGACATAAATCTATTCATATTATCAACAATTGAGTCTCAGATAAAGTCATTTGATGAAAACAGTCACAATAGTAATTAATTCACAATAGCGTGAAATGAATAATTATATCCTATATATTATATCCTTAATATAAATTGGTAATTTGCTGTTTAAAATGATTAAGTTTATAAAAATGTTCATATATACTTGTATATATCCTGTGTATAATAAAAAAATTGTAAAAAGTTATTGACAGTGGTGGGATTCGAACCCACGCCCTTTCGGACTGGTGCCTTAAACCAGCGCCTTAGACCGCTCGGCCACACTGCCCGACAAGGACGTTTGAAAAAACGATTTATATAAACAACACTTCAAGCATTGACTTGTTCTTTCTATATCTATGGAACCAATTTCAGTATAATATACTGTTATATATAAATAACGTTAAATTTCTATATAAATTTTCATAGATATTTTTTTTAGAATTTTATGTACTTGATACTTGGATATAACGAGCTATATAGCTATCACATTTCACCGTTCACCGTTCCTACAAGTAATAGAGGGGGTAATTCTTAGCCACTTTTTCTGATAAGCCAATAAAAATTGATCAAAAATACAGAATATAGGTTTTTAAAATCGCACTATAACTTTACTTACGGAATACTTGTTCTTGTGAAATGTTGTCTGAGACAGAACAAAATTCTTAGAAACCTGGAACTCTTTTTTATGATCATAACTAGAAGTTGGGATTTATTCAAAATTCTGAAGTAGATGAAGGGATACAAGTTTCTGATATGAGGTCAACTGAAACGTTGTCATACTATCTTTACAGAAGATGCTACAGATAAAACAAAAGCAATATTAGGTGACTTAGTCAATAACATCATCATAAATATAGCCATTCAGAACCCTAATGTGGTTATGAGGAAAGCTGTGGACAGACTTTTAAAATTTGGAGATATCTTTTAATGGAAACCGACTTTTAATGTAGATCAGAGATATATGGTTTATGTGGCGTTCGTTATTGGTTTTATTGTTACTTTAACATTTTGACAATTTTAATACTGTTTGTGTGATAAAAAAATGTGGGCTTTTCAGTTTATATAGTAGCTTTTGGATGTAATGGAAAATGTAATTCCAAAGTTCAAAAGCAGTTAACAACGGTGGACATTTAAGTCAACAAAACATCTATTCAAACTGGTTTCTGACTAATCTGAATAGATCCAAATTAAGATTAATATAATTAGATTATATGTATATAGATGTTATTTACACATATATACATTTGTACACAAGCCCCATGTGTTTTTGAGTACTAAGATTTATGAGTTGATATTATAAAAAAGATATAATAATCATTTATATTATGTTTGAAGAATATAAAATTTTTACTAAAACATACGAGTATTTTTTTAATACAGTAAAAACTCTTTTAACTATGTCCGTGTTTAACAAAGATCCGTGTTAAACTAACACCATTCTTGGATGGGCAATTTTTCTTGAATTAATTTTTATTTTATTATTTGGAATAATTTAACCCGTTTGGCTGGAAACATCTTTTGAAAGACCTACGGTGACAAACGATAAGTAACGACAGAAGAAAGTTTTCACTGTATTATTCTTAAAAAAAAAAAAATAATTTAAACTCCTTGGTTTAGTATGACTAAGATTTCCATTTATACAAAGAAGCAAAAAGTATTCTTAATTAACTTTTGCTTAATTACTTAAATAAAGATGAAAAATGAACGAGTCCATTGCCCTGTCCGTACCTGTTCAGATGGCGTTTCAGAAAGCAGTTAAAAAATGTCAAAGTTACACTTATTTTCTTTTGTAGTTAACAAATGATTATTTTTTTGTCGATTTTTGTGATGAAAAAATAAAAAATAAAAAAAAAACAATTATTATATATAACCGTCAATTCAAACACGACTGTGTAATCAGCAATATTTTATAAAATAAATGTATTTGGTTTCTATTTCAACTAATTAATTTAATATTTATTTGCAGTTCCATTGGAAATTGATATGTTAACACGTGAGCATTTCAATCGTTGGTACAGTCTGGGTCCGTATTTCTTGTCATTATTATCATTCGAAATTCCATTCCAGGTAAGTGAAATATTATTATTTTTCAGTAAAATATATTTTATTAATAATAATGAAATTGTAAAAAAGAACATCGTCAAAATAAAGACAAATATTGTCGTAGAATTTTGTGACAAAAATTTTACACCTAAAGCACACAGATTTGGGTCACTGTTAGTATCTCTAATATTGAAATACCACAAAGATACAAGAACTTAGAAATAAAGTTATGATATACATTTAATTAATCAATTTATCAGGATCTATAAATTTCTCATGTAAGAGAGGAAATTCAAAAATCAAGTAAGATATATGTAGATAGATTAAATAGACATTCCAATGACCTAGCTGTAAATCTTCCAAACAATAGCCAGTCTGTAAGAGGATTAAAGGGGTTTAAAGTTTTGAATCATCAAAATTAACATACATTTAATATGTAGGTTAGGTTAGGTTATACCGGCGATCCCTATTGGATCTACTTAGGTCTAATGACCCATTGTGTTACTGAATATATGGGAGAAACTCAGGGTTTAAAACCACCTAGAACCTTTGGCGAAGCATAACATGCTATTTATGGTAGTGTCAGGTCCTGTAACTGGTCCAAGTCCTCAAGAAAGGGGATTCCCCAAGTGCTAAGTCGCCGCCGTGGGATTCTCCAAGTGTTAACTTATGTATGTTTTAAAAAATTTTAATAGAAAAAGGAGTAACAATAGGAAATTTTCAAATCCTAAAATATAATTTTTAATTAAGTTGTTTATGCAAGAATAAACACACAGCTGTTTAGGATACTGTGTAATAGCATCATAACTAATTTTTGGAAATATCTGTTGGTTCGTACATAAATTATAGACAACATGAGTCAAGAATTATATATAATTCTATATATAATAATATATAATTTTTTGTAACTATTATTAATTATTAGAAGTAACGCATAAACCACAGCTATATAAGTTTGCGTAACTATTATAAACTGTTGGTATTTTAAACAATATTGTTTATAGAAGTAAGCAGAAATGGCTTACTTCCTCACAAACATTCTGCAAGCCTGTTTAAATAGTTTTGCAAACAGTCGAATTCTATTTTTTGTTTGTTTTGCAGTAGGTGGAAAGCATCGAAATCACAGTGTAAGACTTGAATCCACTAAAACCACCTCTTAGGAATGAATGGAGAAGATTTCTACAGTACTAGGGTCACGAAAGCCGTGGTTATAAAGGGGAATGGTGTGGAGATTACCGTCGCACTCATCGAAGTAGTGAGACAAGTATTGGGGGGTTTTTAGCGCAAGGCTTGCATGAAATCTTCAGGTATTGGAGCCGGTTGAGGTATCTACGGGCCCATTCTACAGTCGTTAAATCAGGCAGATATTTAAACAACAATTTTTAGTATCTCGTAGTCTAACATCTAATTTGATATTTAAACAAATAATGGATGATACTAATTAGTAATGTATGTAAATTTTTTTTTCTACATTTGCCTTTAAGATTAATATACTACTTTAAAATCGTTTCGACTTGCTTTTCGCACTCTATGAATACTCTAAAAGGTTATTGAATATATAATTGCAACAATAAAATACAATATTGATTGCAATAGTGCAGTAACGACGATAACTGTGATAATAAGATAAGATAGATTGCAATAAGTTATGAATTAATTATTTCATTAACTTGTTGTTTGTTTAGTTAATCGCTGCTAAGTAAGTTAGTTGTTAATTCATTATTCCGAGTAACGCACAAGTTAATGAATTTAGATTCGTGATTAATAAACATTAACTCGGAATGCATAACAAATCCTCCTTTTTAACACGAGAGACATGGCATGACAGCCAACGGACCGGACCTCCTACACGAAACGCAGCTCTAGTGACGTGAAATTGCATCTCAGTCATTTTATTTGAATATCAAACAAAAATAAATGCATGTTTGCTATTTTATTGTAAACAATGAAAAATGAAAAGTTTTAGAATAAAAAATTTATTCTAGAATTTGTTTTATATTATATTTTTTATTATATTTTTTATATTTTTTATTATATTTTATATTTTTTATTATATTTTTTCGACTACAAACAAAATCATTTATTTACAAATATTTAATACAATTGTTGTTGTTGTTGTTGTTATTTCTCAATTGTTTTAAAAATTTCTAAATTTATTTAATTAATTTCAAATCGTTAACTTTTATTGAATATTAACTTTTTTATTTAAACTGCCACTTGAGCCGAGTATTTAATTTCAGTCACTGAACCCGGCAACAACGGCATCGTCATCGTCATCGTTTTAATTTATTTCGTCTTGTTTTTTTTTTATTTTTGTATCTGAATATTTTTTTTTAAATTACTATGCTTTAATTGACTACTGTGTCTACTAATATTATTTTATATCTTTTCATTAATATCAACTACATACTCTGTTACATAGTCACTTAACATCAAATGGGAGTCGCGCTATGTATGAGTCACTTGACATTCCGAGATCAGTTGTTTAACGTTAATAAATATTATATATTTTTTTCTCAACTTCAGCTGATCGTGCTAATTTAAAATCAACTTTTATGATTTCTGTTTTGATTATCATAATTTCGTTAAGTTTGTTCAACTTTGCATTGTAGTTACACTTAAATTTGTGTTAACGCATATAGCGCCACGGAATTACATAGAAATTGCACAAAAGATGTTGTGTTTCAATATCTGACATTTCAAAACTCGTAAATATGCAATATATGGAGATTACAGTAGCAGGTAGGTTGCAGTGACAGGCCATTAGATAACTTTCATGTACCTCAATTAGCGATTTTTCGCCGTTATGCTACCACATTACTCGCAAGAACCCTAGTATAGAAGAGTAGAGACTAAATCCATCCCGCCGAATTAAGATAATTTAATAGGTCTTTTGTCTTCACCGATGAACAGTCTGATAAACTATCAAAGAAGTATTTTCCTAAGAACCTATATTTTCTGGAAGCCAAAGCCTGGCATTCACAGACAACTTCTGCAGTCAGGGTTATGGAGAACCACGCGCAGGTCCTCTGCGTATGACCAATGGGATTACTATACTTTGTATCTTTTAGCTGTAATAGCTGTATTACACTATTTCTGGAGAAATGCTCTTTGTGTCTTTTTGTATCTAGATAAATATAATTCTCATTATAGATCTAAAAGAAAAGTGAGAGTAACAACCATCCATAATTCAATGGCTATATACGACTGTCATTAGACGAATACTATTTTATAGCACCACCGTATGTAAGGCCCTTGACAAATCTTCAGTGCAGAACTAAACTTATAGCGCTCTCCATACCTCATCATCTATTGCGTTATACCTAATGATTTAAATGGTATTCAATGCCACTGATCTTATTAGTAAACAATTAGTAGCATCATCTGCTCTGAGACTCAAAGCTATCTTACAATGGAAGGCTAGTAACCACGAATACGACTCCATACTTAATCTTTTCACTTCGATTTCAAATAGCATTGACTACATCTCTCCCATTCTCAATTTCACCAGGAAATTCAATGTTGAGTTTCGATTTTGAGATATACAGCTGTCGGGTCCTTATTTAGAGGAAGGTTTAAGGTAGTTTAAGGTTTAAGGTAGTGGTGTAGGCAGTGAAATTCTCTCAAAAAGGCTGAATAAATCCACTTACTATAGGCTCCCTGATCATTTTTTAAGAGACGTGATTGTCATTAGGGAAGCAATAGCTTGTCTAAAAGTAGATAATATGTTTATTAAAAATATATACGTACTATCAGATAGTCAAGTTGGTTTAAAGTCCTCGAGTTCAGTCCAATTTGCATCCAGAACGGTTTTTGACTGTTACAAGTAATGTATTTACTTTAAAATACATGTTTTCAACTGGATTGTTGAAATTGAAGTCTTTATTTCTTATTTTATTATACAAAAATAATACTTTAGTTTTGAAAAGCATGCTACTTTACGTTTTCTATAAATTTGGAGTAAACAAGTATCAACAATTTAAAGGGCGATGAGTTGATCATGCTGTTAAACCGTTTCTCCAAATTTATAGCAGCAGTTTACAATTATTGCTTAAAGGCAGGGGCGGATTAATACGATTATGTTACTTACACATCTCTAAATGAGATGTCGACACAATTCAATATTTCTTTAATCTGGGTTCCCGGTCATAGAGATATTTTCGGCAATTGCAAAGCGTATGCGGCACTGCCTTATCACTTTAAGGACTTTTTTTTAGGGTCTTGGTCAACTGCAAGACCTTCAATTTAATAGCATTTTAAGCTTTGTATAAGGTTCATGGTGGTTTTTAAGGTAACACAATGAGCCTATAGGCCTAAGTCCTTTGGTTCTCCGGAAAACTTAACCGAAGGGCTTATTACCAGACTTTTTTCATACATAAGTTTATATGTATTAGTTTTCATGTTTAGGTCCCATTTTCCAGATAAGGTTTATTCTTAAAAAATAAGACTGTAAAGTGACATCTTTCTAAATATAATTTTTCTTTCATTTGTGAATAACGATTTTCAAGTTATTAACTGTCTATAAATTCTTTGTTGGTACAACATATTCAATTGATTCATTTAATTATTTGCATGTTTTCATTATTATATAGCATTATTATTATTATAAGTATGAATGTAATACCCCGATCTATAAAATGTATTGTGCTATCTCTTGAGAAAGTCTCAAAAGTTAATTTGAAGACAATTGGTAAACCTAACAGTATCCTGACTTGATTAGGTTCAATGAAACTTAATTTATTTAGTTGATCTTTAAATACTTAGTTAATCTTTAATAGGTATCGTCTTACTATTATCACTAACGACGTTTTAAAATTTCGAGAAGTGATTCTTCGAAATATTAAGTATGTCCTAGTTTAATATAAAACAATAACAATCGCAAGACATGGGAACCTTTTTTTTCATTTTATAAAATATCGTCCGTTTATACTATTATTTACTACTTAATTAAAAGGTGGTATAAGGTAATGATTAATTTAAGTTCCAATCTCTTTAGACTGAAAAGTATGTTAACACTTTTATTATTGAATTGAATGAGTTGCACCGTGGCTTCCTTGATAATTAATATTTTATGTTTAAAAGTAGTGATACAGTTTGATAAATGATAATTATGGAGAAAAATGAATTAAGATGTTTAATATATATGATAGCTATGAAATCTAGTCATTTAATTTTAACCATTTAAATTAAATCAAGAAATGTATACAAGGACTACCGTTGATGAATAGTTGTCGGTATTCTAGACCGCTTCTTCAGCTTAAAATTTTATTTTATTAAAATTTAATTTTGTTTTTCAAAAACTTTGTATTCTAAACATCTATTTTTATTGGAAAAATAGATTTTTTTGTGATGGGATATATAGTTTTTTCTTTCAAATTGTCTACGGAAAATTTCATTCCCTTGTAATAAAAATTGATAGGCGTTGAAATAGGCATATGTATGGCTATATCGATCATTTGTATTTACTAAAGATAGTTCTTAATTAAATTATTTAAAATGTTACTTATTTTATTTTTCATTTTAAATATATTACAGAGCATCTGTGCAGTCCTTTATATGGCTATAAGTGTTTATCTAACAGGAAATAACAGCGATGCAACATTTCGTATATACTATTTCATCATTCTTGGAGTTTTGGCAACATTAAGTGCGCAAGCTTGGGGATTCTTTGTTGGTGCCACATTACCAACTAAAGTAAGTTGTACATCAGCATAAAATATTAATTAAAATATTAAAATTTTCCCTTTTACCCTTATAGATAGCGGTGTTTTTAGGTCCTATACTGGCAGTGCTGTTCTCGGTATTTGGATTTTGTTCGCGTTATATTGATATAACACCTATTTTTCGCTGGATGTGGCATATAAGCTATTTTCGTGCCGGTTTTCATGGTGCCTTAAATGCTATATATGGCATGGATCGTCCATTTTTACCTTGCCCCGAGACGACAATGTACTGTCATTTCCGCAGTCCTAAGGTCTTTCTCAATTACATGATGATCTCGGATGTTAGTATGAGCGATTGCGTGTTGTTAATGGTGATAGTTATTGGCGTAATGCACATACTGACAGTGATTACACTCTGGCATAAGCTCAATAAGCGTTAAGTCAAGAAGTTGGTGTTGGTCAAGAAGTTAACCAAGCAACAGTGCTGTCATGCGGCATATCGACTGTGATGAGGACAAAATATAAAATAATTACAAAACTTGCTACCAAAACAAAACAAAAAGAAAATAACTAAATTTTGTAATCTAAACTTAATTATTTTTACATATTTTTACATTATTTTTACATTTTTAGTTATTTTTTAGTTTTATATATTTTTGTTTTTTTTTTTTTGCTTTTATTTAATTTTCCATTTGTTATTTTGTTTAATTTACTCTATTTTAAATTTAACATTCCTTAAGTTACAAATTTAAATAATATGAAATTGTTCTGAAAGTATTAAAAACCAAGTGAAATCGAAATCATTTCCAAAAGTACTCACTTGTAACACCTTCAGCACAATATAAATGTATTAGTGTACGTAAATTAAGTGTTTGAAAGTAATTAATTATGTTAAAAACCTATAATGTTCACACCGTGGCCGAAACATGATTCCAAAGAAAATTTAGTTAATAAGGAATACGATTTCGGCATCTGTTTTTTTTTTTTTTAAACTCTAAATAACTTAATTTTTACCCAACGAATTTTGATGTTATTTTGATATTAAATTATTTAAAATATTTTTATTTTTTAACCTAAATTTGTTAATCTTTTTATTCGCTCGTTTCTTTAACTTGTTAAATTTTTTAATTAATTAATTAAAATTTGCCCAGAACTTAGTTGGAAAATGATTATTATATGACTTTCCAAACGATAAAATACTTAATATTTTATTTATTGCATACAGATTTTTATTATTATTTCGTTTGTAATATATTTTAAATTTAATTTAAAATAATTATTAATTTTAGTTATTTATTTATTATTATATTTTTTTTTGTGCATTCTACTTTAATTTGTTAATATAAAATATTTATTTTTCATTCTTTATGCAAGAAATTATTAGCATCGCTCAAATATTTTATTAATATTTTACGTTTCAAATTAAACTTGTCACTTTTTACGTTATTTATTTATACTTTGTTTAATTATTTTATTTTTATTTTCTCTGTGTATAATATTACTTTCATACATTAAAGCCAAGCTTGTCATTTTTATATACAGTAATTAAAATAAAATCCATTTAAAAAATTGTGTTTAAAACAAGAATTCAACAAACTTTGCTTAGTCGCAAATGCAGCTCAGATCAAGTGTGTACTGACGTACAATATACAAACAATTAAAATTATTTAAACAAAATATTGGTATATATTATATTGGATATTGAATACAATATTTAAAAATATTTTTTATTTTTTTTCTATACAAAAGTAAAGGTTCATTTAAAATCACTGTTTAGTTTGTGCTAAACACCATTGAAGCTTGCCATTTTCATTATAAAAATATTTTTTTTATGTTAACGCATTATATACACACATATATGTATATATATACTACATAACATATATTTTATATGTTTCAAATAATCGAAATATATATATATTACTATTATTTTTTTTTTTTTGAACATCCAAATATATAGTGCATTATATATAAATATGTAATTTTATGCGAATTAAATATATATGTAATATGCTGTAATATTTTTATATAAACCTTAATTTACCGTAAATAATATTAAATAATAAAATGTAGAATACTAAATTTTTATACATGAGCATAACAAATTATTTTTATTACATTTTTATAACTATATTTTTATACACATTTATGAATTAAGCCCTGTGAACAAATAAATGTTTTTTTTATACCAAAATATTAGTTATAAGACTTAATAATAACTTATAGAAGCGTATTCTAAATTTTGACGTTTTTAATTCTATTGTGATATTAAAAACAAACTAATGATTTTATTTTTATTTTAATGACTACATACATACATATGTATAAAGATATTATTTAATATATAAATAGTTTAAGTTTAAATATTTTTGTTTTTAATTTTTTTCTTGTTGAATTGTTTATTTGGATATATTGTATATGAAAACAGTAATAACTATATTATAATTAAATTTGGTAATAAAGAAATAAAATATGAAATATATAGTTACAATTTTAAATCACAGATTGTGAATAATTAAATGTTTACATTGTTGACCTTTTCTTTCCACCATTCCACTATCCTAGGAATAGTTTAAGTATTAAACTCCAAGTAGTCTGCGCTGGCTTAAAAGAGAGCACCTTAAAACCTTTCACGTACAAATTCTTTGCAAATACACAGCGTGCAGTCCTTAAGCCACATACCAACGTAATGATTTGGCTTTACCAGTGCATCTACTATCATCATCATCTCTCTTAATATGATGGTATAGATTTAAATAGTACTTCCTGAATTAGAACTCTCCATTACCCACTGTCCTTCGCTATGATTCTTTAATGCTGTATTTCTTATGTTTTTAATTCGTGGTTAATATAGCATCAGACCATCGTTTTAGCTTGATAAATCCTTCCTTGACATATAACTACTCTAAGATTATTTTGTTGCATAAACGCCAGGCATTTTTGCAATATAGCCTAATCATCTCATGTCTTGAGATCTAACGTAACTTTTGTGAACTTTTATAAATTTTTCTTAAACGATTTTATTCATATATAAGCAGTCATCATTTATCAGTGAGCAGTCAACACATCCATAGGTAAGAATGCGTCTTATTAAAGTGTTATCCAATTTTCTCTCTTGATCACGCCCCATGTTATTAAGTGTGAAAGCTTTGAATACTTAGTTCTTGTATTCATTCTTGAATAACTACTCTGTGTCTGTATTTGTGAACTCTGCTTTGAGATACATATATATTGTAGGGAATTATTAACAATGAATTAATTCTAAGTTCTTCCACAATTCGGAAGCCTAATTTCAATTTAGAATGAATTATTTTGGGTTCTATCTTAACTGCCAAGCACTCTATAATTTATATGATATACTAGAATATGTCTACTATGTGCTATTACGAGTGTATCGTCTTTACAGGCACATATTTTAAGGTTATTATTGATAATGGTTATTTCAGAATTAGATCGAAATACGAAATTGTACAATATTAAGTTGAAAAGTATTGATAAAGCATTTCTTTCATTGAATCCAACTGATTCATTATTGACCAGATAACCACAGTGCGACAAATCTTTGATAATATCTCGAACCCACGATCTCTTTGTCGATTATAAAGCAGACGACCGCTTGTCTTGGGACACCATTGGGTTGGTGATGACTTAGCAGCCAAATTAAAACTAAATGAACTGCTTATATTAATAAGCGCTGTAGTTATGCGAAAGGAAGCCACTCTAGCTTTAACGCAATAACGGCAGCCGAGAATCGAAGGACGAAAAAGGACCCAAGTCGTTTCGTAATCTAATCCTTCACTTCAGTGGGGCCACTTGTTCGACGTTGCGCTGTTTCAACGTCCCACTATACAATAAACACGTACTATATGATTGTCATGCTTACTGGCAGTTAGTTACAATCTAAAAGGGGAACGAAATACAATACAATAATCATCGACAATCAGTAATCACTTGAAATTGTTTGTCTTGATCTACATATTCTCTAACTCACGGTTTATGGGTCATTACCAATACACACGATTGGCATATGTCCATAGTTCTCAAAAGGTAACAGTGTGTCAGGATATCTTTGTCCTTTCTTATAAAATGTGATTCCAAAAGATATAAATAGGTGTATGGATAAGAACTGTGAATAAGAAATCAAATTTAAAAGATTTGAAAGAATTTTAATCAAGTTCGCTTATAAAAATTTTAAAAATAAGAAAATTTCTTATATGTATTAAACGTTCAAATGAAATTAGTTATACATATACAAAATTTGTTAGAGAAAACACGTCTCTCTATAACACTTTAGAATAAAATACTTCTATATTCTATAGTTGTTTAAAAATGGTCACTATAGAAATTGTGCCAAAACGAAGACGCTGGTATCAAAAACTTTATCTCAAGCAAATTGGTTCTGTTTTATTCCTTGCGTGTCTGATTTGCGTTTTAATCTATAATGTATGCTGGATTCTAAGTGATGTACAGTCCAAAGTAAGTAATTACGTTAAACATATACGGATAATATTTATCTTCTGCGATTTTCTAGATCGAGAGCTTCTGTGTAGATTATTTCGACAATGTAACTAATAATTGTAATTACGATCTGTCAATCCATGCCGGACTACAGAATAAGGTCGATGATGCGGCGGCACAAAGCGCTCTTTCTCTAAGAAATATCACTTGGGTTCTGATGTACATCAAGAATGGAACCAGCTATTTATTTTCATGATGAACAAAATCTAATTTTGAAGATAAAATTTGGCAGTATAAATACAGTAAAATATTGTATTTGTTATTATATTTATTATCAAAGTGACTGAAATATGTGGACTTTTTGGACATTTTTTTGGACTTATTTTTAAAGCAAATAAAAAAATCACACCTCCAAAACTTTTATTTTTATTTTGTCTCTGAGACTATAAACATAAGCAAGACTGACTATCTGTCTTCCGATTTCAATTATGTTTCCGTCTTATTTTTCTATTGTGGATGGATATGTTTGAAAGGGCTTAGGATTTGAGTTAAGCATAAGTTTGTAACAATTACTACTCAAATAATTTATAGGTATGTTGCATTATTGTCTGACTCATGCTATAAGCTAACCTCATGCTATAATGTACACAGTTTTTCTGTGATGTATTACTGCTTCAAAAATTTTGAATACTTTTAATCAAATCGACGCTCACTCTTGGAGGATGCTGCCTTCTCTTCCGTGTTATGAATATTGGCTTAATTTTGTCATTGTTAATATTAAACTTTCATTTCTGGAAGTATTTCACCATGAGGTCCACATTACCCAGGAAGGTGTTGCTTACATTTATGGCATCCCGGTCAGAGTAGATCAAGTACGTGTCGTCTGCGTAAAGCGCCATTGACGCTGGGCTTAAGGTGGGGATGTCTGCCGTGTATATATTAAATAATGTGGGTGACAGTGATGACCCTTGAGCTACATTTGTTATTGTTCGGACGGATGAAAGAGTGCGGTTGATTTAAGTACGGAAAGACCTTTCATGCAGGTAGCTACCGATGATTTTAGTTAGCCCGCCGGGGACCCCAAAATGAGCCATTTTGACTACTAGGCTATCGAATAGTATCATCTCGGTTAATTACTATTAACCGAGAAATTTTTTTTATTAAAAAATCGATTACTTTTCGATTTTTTTAACAGAGTAAGCTTTGAACGTCAAATCAAAAAAATTGTTGAAATTGTTCTTCAAAAATAAAAAAACAAGAAACGTTTAGTAAGAAATAAACATTATTGAACGTAATTTATAAACTTTGGAGCAAAAACAGAAAAGAAATTAATAGATTAAAACGAAATTAAATTAAGTAAGTAAATGTATATTTTTACTAGAAGTGCTGCTGATAATAAAATCAGTGTCCATATCTCTTGGCTAGTTTCGATGAGCGTTGTTTATGCCAAGGTTTTGTGTTCTCCATTTAATTTGACGAAATCATATTTTATTCTTGGTCACGTTCAGGTGCAGATATTCGAATAGTCGGTATTCGGTCTGCGACTATTTTTCAAATGATCTATTGCAGCGGATAGATAATGCTTTGGGCATTATATTAGAACAAAGATCCCCCGATCTTTGTTTGCTGAAATGCAGTTAGTGTTTTATCCAATAATATCCTTATAAAGGCAATTTCTGTAGCCGTACTATTAACTCACATTAACCTCTTAATGTATAGTAAAGTAACGCTATAGAGTATATTGCTCAATTGATTTCCTTTAGTCCTTTGCATTTTCTATTAGATTAATAATTAATTTTTAGTATTTTTGTACGTAGTATTTCATTATGTCAAACTTATTATTCTCGTTGATCAGATCATAGCTTCACTTACTTATTTGGCCATAACAACCCGTAACCGAGTTTCGGCCTGACGCAGCATGTCTCGTATATCAAGTCCAGTTAGTGCTCTCTCATCTTGATCACTCCACCGGAGACACGGTCTACCTCTACGTCTTCTTCCGCCAACTACTGCTTCAAACATCTTTTTCGCCGGAGCATCTTCATCCATTCTCACGACATGACCAAGCCAGTGAAGCCGCTGGATGTTAATGCGCTGAAATATATCAATGTCGTGATAAAGCTCGTACAGCTCGTGGTTCATTCTAATGCGGTAGTCGTCGCCAACTCGTAGTGGACCAAAGATCTTACAAAGAACTTTTCTCTCGAACACTCCCAGTGCTACTTCCTCATTCTGTGATATCGTCCATGCTTCTGCGCCATACAGAAGCACAGGGAGGATGAGCGGTCTATAGAGCGTAAGTTTCGTTTGTCGAGAGAGAGCTCTACATTCCAATAGCCTACTGAGCCCGTAGTAGCACCTATTGGCAATGGTGGTTCTTCGATCAGATCATAGCACATCCATAAAACTTTTAGTATAATATTTTTATAGGTTATGTATACAATTTTATATACATATACATATATATATATATATATATATATATCCATATATCATATGGAGTATATAATTTTTAATATAGTCGTATCTATTTTTCCATATTTGTTTAAGTATAAGCTAAACAGAGCTACAGAGAAAACTCTTCTAATAGACACTTCTGTTAAATGCATATCTCATCTGGGTGCATAATTTCCTATTATCAGATCATTATTGGGCACAATTTAACTCCAATCGATCGGTCACTTTTTCTGAAAGAACAAAAGTTGCTTAACGATATATGTTCATCCAAGACGATTTTCTCTGTAATTTAAATATATCTTTTAAAAATCTTTTTTTTTTTCATAGATTAACAGTTTTCTATTGTATTGATTTTTGGATTTTCGAAATATTTAAGCTGTCTGATCTGAGTGCAGTAAGTAGATTTTCTAACTTATATAGCATAAATAAAATTAATGTCAGTTAAAATTCATTTCTATATATACGTATACAGATATAAAGTGTGCAAAAAATGGATAATTTCTTCTTAAGACTTGGTTTAATATTCCTCTACATGTTTTTATCCTTAGCTCATCGTCTTGCTATGATGGTAAGTTGTTGTAGATTTGAAATGTGAATATTATAAAATAAAATAAATAAATTTTAAAAATATTTTATATATTTTCTAGATTCCAATTCTGGAATTCTGTATGCATTTGTGCGAAAAACGTACCGCTGACCTCTACAAGCGCCTGCACCAACTGGGTGAACAGCGTGACAGTTTCTACCTGCATGACGATGACATGGATTTTGTAGAGATCGCCGCGAAAATGAGGATTACGGCACAATATATTGAAACTAAGGGGAAAATAGTTGAATTGGAGGAAAAATATAAAAAAATCGCTATGGCTGTTAAAATATTTATTTCGATCCTGATTTACTCTTTTGGGTCGATTTTAATGATCTATGTTTGCAGTCAGAACAATGAGAAGCTCAAGTTTAAGGTGAACGTGGTGCAGCCACTTCAAGAAAATGTTGATGTGTTCCCTTTTGCCTAAATCTTTCATTAATGCCATTGTATTGCTCTATATATAGTACTTGCATACGTATTATATATATTCTCCAGACGATTTCATGATGATTTTTTAATGTTGAATTTGAACAAAGAAAAAACCAAATTTGAAAATTGGAAAAAATAAGATTGCATACTTTTAGGATTGTTTCAAATTATTTAAAGAGTTCTCCTTGCTTATACATATTGTATAATTATATTGTAGATACTGGCTTTTAGTATCTTAATAAAAAATGTTAATTTAAAAATTTAATATAACAAATTATGCAAAAAAAGTTTTATTATTAACAAAATTGAATATTTCAATATATTTATCCGAATAGTAATTTTCCCAGCCATCAACGACGACCGACATTCACATATTTAACTTTTTAAACAAAATAGAGTTGCCATGTTTTAACAAATTTAAAAATTCAGAAAAATTCAATAGTATTAGCCGTAATATTTTCTTTCAGAGTAGTAAATAAATAACATTAAGTCTGGTTGATAGAAATTTAAGAGCACTTTTAAATTATGTTGAATGCTTTCGTTTGACATATGCTTTTGGTTGTGTTGTGTATAATATGATATATAAAAATTGTAAATACTAAAAATCATTTAATTTAAATAGAAGAAAACGAAATGAATATTATAAAGGAAATGATTAGCATTTTTATATTATATGTAAATATAAGATATATATTTATATCTTATATATTAGTAAATGAAATGCTCATTTGATTTTGAGAATGACATGAATTTAGAAACATATTTTCAGTACACATTCACAATAGACTGATTTTTGAATTTGGTTTCGCTAAAACTACAGTCTTAAATTTTTGTGCGAGTAAAACCTTACTCTGAGGATTTTAAGAGCATTTTTGTTGCATCAAATGTTTTGTTTTGTAAGTTACGAGTATTTTTTTGCTACTCTGAAAGAACAAATTCATATCATATTGAAATATTTCAATAAAAAATTTGCATTCAAATTTAAATATTTTTCGTTTTTTAACGACTTATTGCATTCTATTGTTAAATAATAGTATTAAAAACACGAATTCTTACGCGTATGGGTACAGAACATTAATTATCTTGCAAACTTATGACTTGATTTTTAAGTTTGAAATACTATAAAGTCAGTTGTCTTTTTCTTCTTCTTGTAATCCGCAGAGATTTACTTGTGTAGACTCTTTCGATTGTATAAAACGGCACTTGGACGTTGACCTGTCCGTTCTATAACATTATACTTGACAAACTTCACCATAGATTAAACACTCCTCCCATCATATAAAGACCACATCCCATTTTGATAATACATATGATGTGATACATAATTTAAAAACTTAGTTTACTTAAAAAACGCTTGCCATTGATATAATTCTGGTCACACCACTGCTTCACATAGAAGTTTCGAACCTGATTGAGGCAATACTAACGTAGTTTCGAGGTAAGACAAGGTCTTTAGAAATTAGAGAGAGGGGTTTAGACTTGCGAGTCGGACACTCACTTTCGGTGAGGATATCAACTTCTCTATTAATGTGGTGAAAACTTTCAATAAACTGGCAGTCCATATATGTATAGGTAATAGGATTTATCTGTGTGAAAGTAATTACATTATATGGTAGTTCCTAATCCAATATTCTCTTTAAATCTAATAATCACGAAAAATCAGTCTCGATTAATTGTCATACACAGATAAATGTGGAACCATTTAGAAACTGAAACTTACATTAGGTAATTTTATAAAATAGATTAAATTTGTTGGGATTTAGATAATGATAAGCATATTATTATTATTTTTTTTGAAACTAAATAGTAATATTAGATGTTTTACAATAATAAATCAGAGTTGCACTTGAATGTTGCATTTAACGTGATTAATAACATTTGCAATTAAGCAAACATAAATGGCTTTGACATGAATGCTCCAATAGAGCGCGTGTCGCAAAATTCGCAATAAGAACCGTAATTTTTTTTTCAGAGTAGCAAAAAAATACTCGTAACTCACAAAAGTAAACAAGTGAAGCAACAACAATGCAGTAATTATTGTTAATTATAATTAATATTATGTAATTACCTATGTATATTTGTTCAACATCCAGAAACTAAAATATTTAAAATATTTCCTAGAGGGCTTTAATGCTCTTACATCATAAAGTCTTAACTGCATCAATGAGTATATTTCCTATTGGCATGCTAAGCGATCGTCCAAAAAGTAATAAACACACATACTCACACATAAACAGCTGATTTTCGTTTACAACAAAAAGTCGTAGCAGTGTTATTTGTCGAGAAGAAAAAATTAGTATGTGCCATGTTTTCAAGCAGTTAAAGTAGTGCGTTTGCTTGACTCTACAGAAGCGGAACGTAAATCGTGAAGTAGCGTGAAATCAAATAACAACAAAGGGTGGTTTGGTTTGTAAAAAGAAATAATATAAATATTTCAAATAAAATGAATCCTTTTTGAAGTAACAAGTCATAACATGGAATATTTTATTTATAATTTTAAAAATATTTTAGTTAAATAAAAATAATATAATAATTTTAAAATACATATACGTCTGTGACTGCAGATTTGCACATTCAATTACAAATAATGTTTTATAAGAAAAAGTGGGACGTAATCGTTTCGAGTGCTTATAATCGCCTTAACAAATATAAATAAAATCATGTGTACGAAAAAAAAATAAAATAAAATATCATATAAGTATATATGTTGTATATAAAATTATTTCCAGATAAGACAAACTAAACGGGCGAAGTGACTGTGACTGCTAAGGAAAATAAAACATATATAAAAAACAACAAAAACAACAAAACCAAGTATTAAAAACAAAGCAATAATAAATAAAATTATAATTTAGTAAAAAGCACGATCCAAGTGTGATGAACCCTATGAACGGTCTATTTGCATTTGTTTTGGGTATTAATATTTTGCAAAATATTTTTTTGTTCAAATTTTATGATTAAATAAATTGCATTTGTATATAGAAGCAAACACCAACCACCAGCCGCATTAAATTAAATATTCAAATTCATTTATAAATTTTATAACAAATATTTAAACAAATAAAAATGATTAAAACAAACAAAAGTAAAAAGTGTAAAATACAAATCACCAAATTGTAAATGACGAAAACACAACAACAAAGAAAAACAAAAATCAAAAAACAAAAAACAAAGAGAAGCAGAAAAGTTATTTTAAACAAAGAAGTGCATCAACAGTGGCAGCACCAGGCAGTGCTGCTGGCAGCAATATGTTAAACAAAAACAATGCTCTGTGTGCACATGTGTATGTGTTAGATTTGTATGCAGTTTCTAAAAACGAAAAAATTATTTCTTTTTTTAATTGAAAAAAAAACACTATTTTTTATGTTACTTCGCTGTTGCAGTAGATCTGCATACCTACTGCTACTGCTATAGATGCTGCTCCTTCGATGTTGTGCTCTGCTCTGGTTCACCAATATGTTCAATGAGTAAAGAAACAACAACAAAATAATGCAATTGCTCTTTTCTGTTTAAACATTGGTTTTTCTCTTACTACAAATGTTTTTTTTTTTATTTAATGAAAATGTATAAATAAAGGAGAACAATAACAAAAATAAGAATAATGCACTAATAAAAAAAACACAAAAATTATAATAAAAGTGGAGATAAAAACAAAAACGAAATACACACACACACACACACACATACAAATCCATACATAAACATGAATTCCATGACTGATCATAATAAAGACTTTGACAAGAAATAATGAAATGGAAATAATGTTTCTAGGGAACATTGTATGATAAAGCAACAAAAAAAAAAACAAAAAAAATTAAAAAAAAAAATTAAGAATTAAAAAATATAAATTTATTTATCTTTAAACAAAGACATTTCTTATAAGTTATATGAGTTAGGAAAAGCATAAAATACAAAAGAAAAAAGAGAGTAACAGTCTAAATGGAGCAAAATACTGTACCCAGAGTAGATCTTTTGTGAAACAACTTAGCTTACTCGAACAGCAGATATTCTAATTTTTTACTTTATAAATTGGAACAAAATTAATACTCAAATATGTTTTTTCTAGTCATATCTTGACCTTAGACAATAGACCTTAGAATATATTCAGTCAAAAAATACATAAGGGACATAGCCCTGAAGCTATATGCGAAAACCGACAGACTGCCCTAGTAGCACTATCTAATCTCAGAGTAATCACTAAACGGACGAGGTGGTATGCAGATCTTATATCAGTCATTGAATAATCACGAAGCTTATGAGGAATACACAATTTAGTCAGCGAGATGGATGGGCCTCTGCCAAAACTTCCCAGCTATCAAAGAGTAAATGTGCCCAGATGCACTAACTCGGTTAAGACTCAACATTAGACAAGAAGTCATATATGCTTCCTTTCAGACATACATATGTAAATACTTTTTACATATTATTAAATTTTCAAACATTTGTTTAAATATAGTTCAGGTGACTCAACTTGATTTGTGTTTGAGTTGTAAACACAATCGATACGAGACGAGATCGTAAGAAGCAAAGGTAAAATAGTTAAGGTGACAATAGTTGGTACGTAGACATAAAAATTTACATTTTTTTATTAACTAATGTAAAAAACATTTAATCGTTTATTGGAATATTTGTCTAGAATTGATTATGTTTCTATCATAAGTTGATTTCGCAGGAGAGAGGTAATTGCTTTTTTTTCATACATTGAGAACAATAGAAGCCAGAGTATAGGAATTGAACCTAGTAAAATCAGTTATTAAGAATACGAAAAAATCAAACATCCATTGTCAGACCATAACAGCCCATATAACAAAACCCCATACAAAGCCTAGAAAATTATTATTTTAAGATAATCATTCCTGTTTGTAGTACCTTTTCTCTCTTTAAATCTATATTGTTTCTGTAGAAATCAGTACTATAGAGTTCCTTTATAGATATGTTATTTTGTTTTTTTGTTTTTATTTTTTAATATTTTAGGTAACGAAAATGTTAATTGTTGTTATGTTAATGTTGTTAATTAAATAATTATTAAAATTAAAAAGTTATTACAAAGTATAGAACATTATGTGTATTAAGCTCGATCAGAATGTTCAAAAAACCTTTTTATATAAAAATAGTATCTTTCGTAATGTATGACTTTAAAATAAAATTTTAATTAAAATACCAAATTAGTTATAATTAAAAATAATAAATTTGTTAAAATATAGAATGGGCCTTTCATTTCTAGTATCTGTTATTAGAAAGTTATTAGAAATATATATATATTTCCAATACCATTCTAATAACAAATACCAGAAACGAAAGGAGCTTTGTATATCACTGAGTGTCAACCAATTTTTCCTCCTTCGTGTACTATTTATTTAGGTTTTCAGAACTTACGACATCACCTCGTAAAGTCACAGTACTTTAAAATAAAACCCCTTGTATGTGAATTTAAAATGTATATTGAAATGTAAGTAAGGTCTTAAAGACGAGATAAACTGTAATGTATTTGTATCGTAATTTTAAAATATTATTTGACATAATATTTTATATTTAAACTGCCATTTTTATGGAATCTAATAAATAGTTTTATGTGCATAGAAACCCACACTTGTTCATCATATATCATCAGCCACATGTGCATCTCTCTGTCCATGCACTTAATTTTTACATTGCTATTCTGCTGCTTGGCTGAAAATTAGAACGAAACCATATGAAACTAGAGAAGTGAAACCCATCGATGCCTGTGAATGTGCGAATCTCCAAGCGGATTACTTGCCCATATCCACAAACTCATTCACATATTCGTCGTCGTCTGTATATTCACTGAAATTTAATATTATCTGTGGTTGAGGAACTTTAGGGGTTGAATACAGCATTTATTCTACTGCAGTTCTAATTGCTTTCGCATTCACTAACAAAAGACTTATTTGTTGGTTGGGAATTGTATGAATTAAGTTTTTTTTCTTATTAAACCAGTAAAAATAAGCAGATTTTGTCTACATCAAAAACGTGTTCTTTATATTGAAGATGAAGTACATACGTATATAGGGAACCCTTGTGGTGTTAAAAACATTAAAATATACGACCTTCGCATACCTAGAGCGTTATATTAGAACTATTAAGTTAATTTGAAAGTTCTTAATTTGTTATCACAAGTTTAAACTTTTTTAAGGCAGTCTAGAACAAAAATAACTTTGAGAAAGTGAGGGAAAATGAGAATTGAAGAAAAAGAGCAGGAAAGTGTCACAGGTGTCATGAGATAATGAGATATTGGGAGAAAAAACATAAAGAAAGAGAGAGAGAGAGGGAGAAATATGACAAGAAACAGGATGAATGTGAATACATTTTAGAAATCTTAAGAAAAAAGTAGATTCATTTATTGAGAAATAATATAACAAACAAGAGAAAGCTATAAATAAAGAGAGAGATCCAGAAATATGAAAATAAAGTAAATAGCAGATTTGAGGTAGATAGAAAGATAATCCACCGGAATTAGAAAATATAGTCGACAAAGACGCGAAAAGGATACATTAATAAAAATATTAGAGTAGTAGAAATGTCAAAGGAACTAAAGATAAAAGAGCAAAACTTTTTATAATAAAAAAATTTATTTAACTTAAAATTATTATGAGAGAATAGGACATATATACATTAAAGTATACAACTTAACTTAAGTTAATAAATAGTAAATTGAACACTGTAACCTTGAAGTGTGCGTTATTGGGCATTAAAGTGTCACCTTGGCATGAAAGTGTCACTTTACTGTCAAATCCATACTTAAATGTGTATTGTGAAATTGATCCTAAGATCATTCAATTCTGTCAACCAGATTCTTAGAAAATAAATTTCTCAATAACTAAGTCATGAATAAAAAAATGGTTTGTATTAAAAGATGTCGTCAATAGCGCTATAGTAAGGGTAGTCTCTAGGCTATCTTCTGTTGCTACGTTCTAACAGTTACGGTAAGACGTAACTCTTCAGAGCTGAAGTTGTGCACAGGTTATCTGACAGGTCAGCATGGCTGCGATACCATCGCAACTAAATAAGTCTGTATGAAAAAATAGAATATCGGCTTTGGTTGGTAGCAAATAAAACCTCTGATCATATTCGTCGATTCTTATTTCCTATCCTCAAAACATATTGACATTTATTCAAAGAGGTGAGTATCTTTTGTATAGTTTGGCCCACCTATTCTCAAAAAGTAAAATATTGACATTTATTCAAATGGTTAAATGTCTTTTATTCACTTTGATTTAGTTTGAAGTACAAAAAATCTACCATGGTCGCAATGCTCCATTTTCTTAGGAATCAACTTTTATTGCTTCTTTAGAAGTCAAATAAGTACATGGGACATATTTACTATATATATAAAATATTTTATATATATCTGTAAATAAACAAATAATTTTTAGTTTAAAAACAAAAATTGTAGTGAGACACATGATTTTTTTTTAATAGCTCTAAGGTGATATATCACAAAATTGTTGACAATAATTGTCATTTTTGGTATTTTATGCTTTTAATAATCAACGATCTGAAAATGAACATTATTAAAATTTTATTTCAAAGTAATTTTTAAAGTTTATTTTTTCTTTTTAAGGCAAATAATATATTTATCTATAGAAAACTAGACCAAAAATTAATGTTTAAATAAATTAAAATATATTAAAATTAAATAATAGTTATAAAAAAAAAAGTAATGTCGCATACAAATACAATTTATTATTCATTCCCAAATGTGGATAAAGAAATTGGAAGTGCAATAACGACATCATCTAGTGTATTAAGTGAATCAAGTGATGATGTCATAAAAATGGATATTCCAAGAGATGATATTGAAATTGCGGCAGGAACCAGCAATATTCAATTAACGCCATTGTCATCAGCAGCAATAATATTCCCATCAACATCAACGTCAGTATCACCATTACCAACAAATGCGATAGCATCAACAGCAGCAACAGCAACAATTGCAACTGCAACTGCAACATCACAAAAGAAATATTCAACAAAAAAGCCAATAAATTTAAATTTAAAAATTTCAAATAAATCTTCTGCTACTGCATCAACAACAAATGCATCATCAGCAACAGTGGAGAGCTATGCAGAAACAGATAATGCTTCACTCTCCAATACCAGCTCAGGCAGCAACAATAAAACATTAAATAATAGTAATAATAAAATATTAAATAATAGGAATAATAAAACAGCAACAACCCCACCTTCAACATCGATAACGATGTTTCCACACGAACAAAATAAGACGATCAAAAAAATTGACATCGGTTTCGCCGATATTAAGTATTCCGTAAAAGCTGGTTTCTTTAGGAGAGGTAAGTGCTTCTATTTTATTACAATTATTATTTTTTTGATCAGAATTTAAATATAACGATCAGATCAGAATTGATTAGAATTTGTTTTTACTCATATTTAGGTCAGGTTAGGTTATGCTAGTAGACCAAAAACGCCACACGTAGACCATTAAGGTCCATTGCGATACAAGATACAGAGTCTTAATTTTTTAGCGATAGTGTGCATCGCTTAGGATGCGCGTGTTATTAGCGAATATTATTAGGATTTTAACAGAAATCTCAGGCATGAGTTCCAGTCCGGTAAAACCTGCAGCACCCAAGTATTTTTGTTGAGTTCTCGAGAGACTCATATATAAATCTCAACTTATAAATACAGAACACATGAATGAGTAAGTCCCAGGACAAACTGTGTCCCCAATAAAGTCGACTTTATGCAATAATATAGGCTTTCACAGTAGCAATATAACCTTTTCATCAGATCTCCTGCATTTCTGCGTCTTTCTTTTAAAACGAGTAATCTTCAGCCTCAATATAAATGTGTTTTTTTAAAATGGCAACACAATTGGTAGAGCAAATATTAATTATTGGGAAATAGATTTTATCAAAATTGTAGATACGGGAGAAAATTAAAGTGCTCAAGTAGTTTGCCCAACGGAATCAATGGTTTGTGGCACAATGCATTGTCTTTGTGATAGAACACATTTCTATTATCATATAAACCTTTTTTTTAGTAATTAATGACTAATGAACTAATATATTTTTTAGATTTCATCAAGGCAGTCTATAAATTTTCTATCAAAATATAAAAGCCTATAATCTTATCCACTGAAACTCACTTTTTTCATTGCTTTCAACTAGTTTCATGGACCTTTTCTTACTTAGCTAATTGCCGTTTTAATTCCGATGTGTATCGTCAAATAGCGTTTAGAAACAACATTTTTTACCGATTTTGGACTCAACTTTCGCATTCTGATCATTTCAAGTTATCAGCTATTCCCGTGAACATCATTTTACAGCCATTCAAGCTATTTTTTTCAATTTTTTTTTATGTAGTGCTAGATGTTGGGAATTAAGTCTTCATTTTTTGTTAAATGACCATAAATAAAATTCTATTTATAATGTCTCTAAATAGCACACGATACCGATTTCAGATTGTTATAATTTCAAAGTGTATTTTCCATTTTAATGATTTGTATACTTCTTTAGAACTTAAGGATTCTATGCCATCGTATCACTAATTGATTAGAGAATCTGATTCAATTAGACTCAATTTTTACGAAAAAATAATGAAGACAATATCATCAAACATATGAATTAAGATTTACGTTTAATAACTGAACTTAATAATTCATTTGTATATCACAAATATGGTTTATTGAAGCATTTTCTTAATATTCAATACCTTAATCCATATAATTAGAATGTATACCATAATAGGTCGTATCAACTACAACGTTGGTTTGATTTTAATATATTAACTGAAGCCATAGGGTTCTTTATTCTGAAAGTATACATCATCCAGACGATTGGGTTAAATTTTACTTCCACAATTATTGAACGTTAGATTTATAAAACTAATACATATTTATTTAAATTTTTATATACATCTATCGAAATTATTTATTAATTTCAACCTTAATTCCATTATTTTTTAATTACTTTAATTACATTATTTATTAATTATTTTATATTATTTGTATTATATATTATTTTAGTGTTTCTATTACAACACTGCAAATAAACTTAGACCTAGTAAGTTGATACCTAGTGAGTTAGAGTTATTTCTTTATAATGGTTTTTATATAGTATTTTTTAATTCGCCTATAGGTCACTTTTTGTTAAATAATTCAATCTTTAATATTCTTTATTGTATTCTATATTTAGACTCTTCTTGAGAGTCATCGTCAGGATCACGATCTACAAAAAGATAATTATAAAAATTTACAATATTACATTACCTTATAAATCGTGATCCTGATGACTCGCAAGGAGAGTCGAAATATAGAATATAATAAAACATATTAAACGTTGAATTATTTAACAAAAAGTGACCTATAGCCGGATTAAAAAATATATAAAAACCACTTGAAGCAATCTGAAGTACTTGTTAAAGTAAAATTTTTGGTATTACCAAGAAATATATAAGTGTGTATATACAATTATATTTTTGTAAATAACCAAATTGCTATATAAATCTGTATATATTAGACATTTTATGTGTATAACACAAATATATGGTTTGGTTTCCGTGCTGCAAGTATGGTATATAGTATTTTAAGCAGATTTTCTCAACTACTATAGTATATATGTATTATTTTTTCGATACATATTGAAAGATTTTATTTCTTGACATTTCGCTATTAAATAATAAAAGTCACATATCCATTAAATGCGGTTATTCCGATTGTTATGCTTTCAAATGGAAACAATTTTACATTATCTTATCTTGAAGTCGTAATAATAATTTGTGACTTTTAATATTTTAATATTTGTTTGCATTTCATAATGCATAAAACATTGTACAATTGCCTCAATGACATTTTTGTTCAGAAAACTATTCCTACATATGTATATGTTTATATAAAATATGACGAATATGAGAAATTATTTGAGTTATTTGAATATTAAAATACAGTGAAGACTCGTTCATAAAGTCAAATTATTTTTATAGTTTTTACTATCATCAGTAGTACGTTTGTAGAATCATTAGTGTCTGTTAGTCTCCAGATAGACTAAACAAGGAGTAGATATAAACTACTACTCCTTACTCCTAACACTGTAGCCGGCTTTTATGATAATTTTTAACGCAGTCAGGAGATTGCAATCAAAAATAAATTTCTTATTGCCTATTTTTAACAAGTCTCAATTGATTAGCTCATTTTCTTTAAATCAGTTATAATAAAGTTGGCACTAGAGTTGGTTTCTCTAATGGATTGCATTCAAATAGAATATATAACATTATATTATTTATAACATTAACATTAACATAGATATTAGACATAGACATAGACATTAACATAGATGGTCAAATTTGTACCATATGTCAAGGAAGGGTGTACCAACATAACAAAAAAAAATTTTTTGAAAAAGGTCTATTACTTAGACCTGTAGTTAACAAACAACAAAATCCGGATACTTCTTGAGCAGAAGGTAAACCTTTAATCAAAATTTGGGATTGAAATTGAATTTTGGTGTCTAAATTTTAGGCCAAAATAACGGTAGTTATATTTCTTACGATTTATTGGATACTTACCCCTAATTTTTTGAAGAAATTAGATTTAAAAGTATTTGAAAGGAGAATAGATCTCAATCAAAAAATTAGAGTCTCAAAAATCGTTGCCTAATTTATGGATGATTATTATTATTTTTCAATCTACAGTATTTTAAAGAATGCGTGGACTCAAAGTACCATTAGGCATATGGTTTCTTGGTAACTTTTATTCACAATGCTTTACAAAATCATGTATTGATATACACTTTAAAACAAGAAACTAGAAAAAAACATCCTAGGTTCACCGAGTATATTCTGGCTTTTGCGCCCCTATTCATCTTTGACCCGTCAATATAAATCAACACCATTTTTTACAGGATTGAAATCTTCCCTTATGACAAATGTAGTTGCAAATTTATTATCAAAGTATAAGTGAGGAATATTTGATCTGATTTCTCAAAAAATAAAACTAGACCTAGCGACCTAGTGTCATTGAGAGCTAAACGTTTAAGTTGTTAAGCTTTTGTTTAGTGATTATAGCCGTTTATTTAATGATAAGGTCGCTGGGTTGCAAGTCCGGCATAAAAGGTAAGATCCAATTACTGAAATCGTTGTCTCGTAGCACGAGCGCTAGCCTTGGAATAAGGTATTGGTTATTTGACTAGGCTTCGTCAAACAAGACATTCGTATGTTAGAATGGTTAGAACGAGAGCTGTAAATTTCTAGTCCTTAATATACTACTCTTTACATGGGTAGAAGACCACACAGTTATATATATTAAATTAAAAATAAAATATTAATCATTGATTAATATTGATTAATTACTTTATAAATGTTGTTGATTGACCCTTAAGTTGAATGAATTGTTATTTTATAAAAGCATTTTAAGTCTAATTAACTTTTTATGTTTTTTTTAAGCAATTAAAGCAATTTAATACTAATTTCATTGCAAATTTAGACATTTAATTTTATTTTACTTTGAATAAAATTATACGAAAGTATTTATTACCATTTAAGTATGTCAAATCCCATATAAAAATACTAATTTTTATATTTTACTAGTTAAGAAATTTTGAACAATATCGTATTGGTAGTCATTGTGCAAAGTTTAATATTTCAGCTTGCTTTTAGTAACTAAATTTTTTTAAAAAGGTGAGGTATTGCACTTTGATATTGTTTGATACTGTTATATCGTAAACCCAGGCTTACGAGATGTGCTCACTCGTACACATGGAATGGAATCGAAATGGAATCGATAACGCCCTTTTATCTGAAAGTGTATCTGAAGTAATATTTTATAGTGTAAAGAGAGGACATATGATTATGTAGTTTTTTAAATGTAATAGACCACTAGCAAAGACATTGGCATACGATATTTCAAATAAATTTTTCCAACAAAAACCAGATAATTTTTAATCTAAGGCTGTTTGTTCTACCAAAAGTAAATTCATAATTAAAAGAATAATAGATATCCAGCAGAACTTCAGTGATTCTTTTTCCTTAAAGAAACAGTTTTTTTTTGACTGACACGCAAGTTGTCAGGAAATAGCTTGATATTCAGATGTCTGAGTTGGTGAATCAGCATCTTTACTCTATTTTATCTGTGGACAGCTTTAAGTCATACTACGAATAACTGAATACGGGGCTTTATAATATGATGGATCTGATGTCTTTGTATCTGCCTGTGTTTATCAAATTTCGCTGTATTTTTAGGATGCTGAGAGTTGGATTATTGTGACTGTCAATTATATTGAACAGTTTCAGAGCACGATCAGAAAATAGCAGAGATGCTATATATGCTATATATTTG